AGAGCTCACAGAGAAGGGTTGGATTCGGCCTAGCACTTCCCCCTTTGGCTCACCAGTATTGTTTGTTCCAAAGAAAGGGGGAACACTAAGGATGTACATTGATTATAGAGGCCTCAATGCCATCACCGCTAAGAACGCAGAGCCTCTACCACGCATCGACGACCTATTGGATAGGGTGCAGGGATGTAAGTACTACACAAAGATAGACTTAAAATCCGGCTACCATCAGATTGCCATTAGACCAGAGGACCAGCAAAAAACCGCATTTCAGACCAGGTACGATCTGTACGAGTTTGTGGTGATGCCTTTTGGCCTTTGCAATGCGTCGGGTACATTCCAGCACGCCATGAATAGGATCTTCCATGACTACTTAGACAAGTTTGTTGTCGTGTACCTCGACGACATACTTATCTTTAGTAGATCTGTCGAGGAGCATGCTCAGCATGTAGACAAAGTACTTTCACTCCTTCGGCAACACAAGTACAAGATAAACTCTGAGAAATGCGAGTTTGGTCGCACTTGAATCTTGTACTTGGGTCATGAGGTATCCGCAGATGGGATTAGGCCCGAAGATGCGAAGGTGGCTAGCATTCGTGACTGGCCACGACCCCAGTCTGTGACTGAGGTCCGATCATTCTTGGGAATGTGTGGTTATTACCGCAACTTTGTGAAGAATTATAGCACGATCATTTCTCCCTTGACTGATCTAACTCGACTTGACACACCATGGGACAGGACCGACGAGTGTGAGGCAGCTTTTAAGCGTTTGAAGCATGCTCTTACGCATCATGAGGTTCTCATGGTACCCGACCCGCAAAGGTCATTTGTTGTAACCACTGACGCAAGCCAATATGGGATTGGCGCAGTGCTGGCTCAACAGGAAGGGAAGAAGTTGAGAACGATCGAGTACATGAGCAAAAAGATGCCATCAAAGAAGTTGGCAAAGTCCACCTATGAGAGGGAACTCTATGCTCTTTACAAGGAACTTGTCCATTGGAGGCACCATCTGTTAGGAAGGTTTTTCTATCTGAGAACTGACCATCAGACCCTCAAGTGGATCAAGACTCAACCAGTTCTCTCCGATGCACTCAAACGCTGGATTGAAGTAATAGATCAATATGACTTCAAACTAGACTATTTGAAGGGAGAGTACAACAAGGTTGCAGACGCATTGTCTAGGAGGGCAGATTACGTGGGTGCGCTAATTTCTGAGTTTGGTTTGTCTGAAGACGTGACTCGATCGTTGGATGAAGCCTACAAGGAAGATCCCATCACGATGGACATCATCAACAAACTACAGGCTAAAGACAAGGCCACCTCTGACGAGTTTGTGATGGTGGATGGGTTACTCTTTCTTGAGAAGGCAGGGTTTAAAAGGTTAGTTGTTCCATCTAGGGAAACTTTGCGCAGTTTATTTTTAGGTGAGTGCCACGACGCCACGGGACACTTCGGCTATAAGAAGACGAGTGCTAATTTAGTACAGCGATTCTGGTGGCCCAACATGCTTGACGATGTGAAGAAGTACGTGGAGATCTGTCAGGTCTGTCAGCGGGACAAACCGCGGACTCAAGCTCCACTTGGGTTACTCAAGCCTTTACCCATTCCTGCTGGCCCAGGGCAGAGTATCTCCATGGACTTCATGGATACTCTTGTGACCAACAAGAATGGCAAGAGGCACATCTTCGTCATAGTGGATAGGTTCACTAAGTACGCTAGACTAATCGCCATGCCAGAGACTGCCAGGACTGAGCACGTCATCAAGTTGTTCATGGACAACTGGGTGCGTGATTTTGGATTGCCTAAGACTATCGTTAGTGATAGAGATGTTCGTTTCACTAGTGAGATGTGGAAACAGGCCGCTGAACAGATGGGCAGCCAGCTTCAGATAACTTCTGGGAATCATCCCGAAGCAAATGGGCAGGCTGAACAGATGAACCGAGTGGTGCAACATCTGTTGAGGCATTACATCAAGCCCAGCCAGGATGACTGGGATGAGAAGTTACCTCTCATCGCCATTCTGTACAACAACGTTGTACACAACACCATCGGTGTCAATCCTAATCAGCTACATCTCGGATGGAAGCCTAGATCCGCTCTAGACTTCCTCCTGCCTAAAAACCAAACTGCTGCAACTCCTGGAACCATTGAATTCGGGGTCCAGTATGAGAAACTGTTGCAGCAGGCTATTGACAACATCAAGAAATCTCAGGAAGCAATGATTGCTTCTGAGAACAAACGTCGCCGACAGTCCACATTTCAGGTAGGGGAACGTGTCTGGGTCAAGGCTAGTGAGTTGGGATAGGAGTTTGGCATCTCTAGGAAACTAATGCCTCAGTACTTCGGTCCCTGGGAAGTCTTAGACATAGTGGGAAATGATTTGGATGGTCCCTCGTACGCCATTCGCATCCCTGGTCACCTACACACTTACCCTGTTTTTCACGCCTCCAAGCTAGCACCTTTCGCTGAGACAGCACAGTTCCCATCAAGGAGATCTATGCTGCCCCCAACCATGGATGGCCACGTGGACGTCGACGACATCCTGGATCACAGAGATACGTCTGTTCCCAAGCCACCTGGCAGGGGAAGACCTCCAAAACCTGCGAGGGAATACAAAGTTCATTTCAGGCATCACACTGATCCGAAGGAAGATCGATGGATTTCAAGGGAGGAACTGATTAAGACAGCTCCTCAGATCGTTGCAGATTATGAGAAGAAACTAAAAGGGAAGGCTCCAGCATGAAGTATCTCAGCGGAATTTCGAAGCTAAGGGGGATGGAATGTGAGGAACGAGCCCTCAAGGGGCCCTATCAGACATCGCATGTTCTGGACTAAGGCCCCAGCAAGCCAAGTGCCCGCCCTAAGTGAAGGCGGGCCTGAATATTCGTCACAGGCCAAAATTCGACATTTCCATATGTGGGTATTCAGGCTCTTGCAGCGCGTCAGTTGGTTGAGTGAATGCGCGAGCCTCACTGAGCTGCATCGTACAGTTGGCCCAGGCCACGAAAGTGGTGCCTGGGCACCTACACACAAAGCACGGCCGATACATTGAGAAGCAGGCCATCGGCCTTTGGAAAAGCAGTACAGCCGCCGCATCTACCTGTGGGCCCTGCGCAGATGCAGCTAACAGCCCAAGTCCGGAGACTCAGGCCGCGCCCAACTGTAAAGAGCCCGGGCCCTCAACTGTCAGTCTCGGCCTGGGCACAGGGTCTGAGGCCCAACCGGAAGCTACTGGAAGATTCCAGCCAGGCCACACGCAGCATCCGGCAGGCTGCCACTTCCATAAAGGAAGCAGCCCAGGCCAAGTATTCTGGCCAGCGATAGCTATGCAGAAGTGCTGCTGCGCTCTCGCTTGATGCTGCGCTGCTGCCAAGGGCGCTGACGGGGCGCGAGAGGTGAGGTGGGGCGCTGCAGGGCAGCGGGGCGCAGGCAGCCATAGCCGGGCTGCTGGGCGCCAGGGGGTACAGCGGATGATTGGGTGGTCTTCGGGGAGTGAGGCGCTGTGTGGGATAATCAAGGTCTGATTGAGGGTGACGAGAATACATACCATGTACATGAAGAGAGGTCGCCGATGGTGTGGACAGTCATGTACATTGGTCTTCGTGAGCCGAAGTGATCCTGTTGTGTGAACCMGCTGTAGAGTAGGATAGTGTGGTAGAGTAGGCTGGGCGCTGTGCGCTAGACAGAGAGAGCGACTCTGGATACTGTGTTGGTGTGGCCTACGGGCTTGGAGATTGGCTCAATACTTCATTGTTGTATTGCTCTTTATGGATGGTTTTCTCGGTGCATTTGTACTCTCTACTTGTGATACTACTACTTGCTCAGCAGTGTGATTTTTCAACTTGGTTTTATGTATATCGCTCACACTCATATTCCTTACACCACTACGGTACTACCATATTTTGATCAATCACAGACGACTGAAGATGTACTTGTTCTTTTTTGTTTTTATTTTTTGCAAGGTCCTACGATTCCTAGCCCTTATCAGACCCCCATGCATCCTTCCTCTCGTCCATTCTCCCCAGTGTACCACTCTCCCTTGGTCCTACCTCAGTGTCTACCACTCAGAACAATCACCCTTTTACCATCTTGCCGGGGTGATCTCACTAGACAATGGTTGCAGGTACCAGGGCTGAGCAGGAACCCTGGTCAGTCCTGGTTGAATCATGGTCAAACGAGCTATGTCGTATGGGTACACCTGGTGCTGTACGGAAACGGTCTTTCTAGAGGCTCCATGGGTAGACCCTTAATGCTCCCCAGAGTAACCTGGGCTCCCTAGATTGCTCAGCATTCTTTCTAGTGTATGGATCGAGTTGTGCGCACCCTAGATATATCACAGGCAGTGTCTAATGCCCCCACCTAGCCAAGGTCTAACTTACGACACCCCCTGAGCACCCTGGGTATACCCACCTCGCACAGCTGTGATCGGTTGTTCATGTCATGTTGTTAATATGACGTAGAGGTTCTGGCCTTTCATCAGTAGGTGGACGGTCACCATCTGCTCTTTTGTAATTTTTTGTAAATACATTTTTTATAAGTCCGCACTGTCCAAGGATCGAACACGTGACCTCCCTATCCGGAGGCAAACACTCAACCAAACGGTAAAGTGGACCGAGGTGAAAGTTAAGCCCCAAGATGAGCACTTAACCCCACCCCAACACGGGTACTCGTTTTTCCCTGTGATCCGGTGTAGCCAGTCACACACATGCACAATCGAAGTAGACATAGCCACCACATAATGAAGACAAATTTGCACACCAGCCGAAGCTAATGGCACCACCTGATCGTGCCCAAGCCACCGTAAGGTCGATCGAGTGGATCTAATGCATTTGTAAATACATTTTTTACAAGTCCGCACTGTCCAAGGATCGAACACGTGACCTCCTTATCCGAAGGCAAACACTCAACCAAACGGTAAAGTGGACCGGGGTGAAAGTTAAGCCCCAAGATGAGCACTTAACCCCACCCCAACACGGGTACTCGTTTTTCCCTGTGATCCGGTGTACCCAGTCACACACATGCACAATCGAAGTAGACATAGCCACCACATAATGAAGACAAATTTGCACACCATCTGCTCCACTACCTCAGTCGTTCACTAGATCCTTCCCCAGTCACTTTTTTTTTTTTTTTTTTTTTGAACAAATGGTCCAATCTATTTGTGGGAAGCAGCACGTGCTGGAAACCGGGTCCAGCGTCCCATAAGGACATTAGCAGCTTCAACAAGGATCTTTTTTTGAGAAAAGATGAGAAGACCTCCCCTGCCAGCATTGATTACCCTGGAATCCAGGGGATTAACTGAGCAAGGAATGCCCTTTTTTTTTTTTTTTTTTTTTTTTTTTTTTTTTTTTTTAAAMAACAAGCTCCATCTATTGGTGGGGAGCAACACCTGCTGGAAACCGGGTCCAGCGTCCCATAGATACAACCATATCCTCACAAATTGGCACAAACTGGGAACCGGGCCCAGCGTCCCTTAACGAGCACATTCAGAAAAGTCATCGGAAAATTCCAAAAAAATGAGACTAGGAACCTACTAAGAATTGTAGAGCTACTCCAGCCCTTTTTGTGAGAAACTTCAGAGTCAGACAAAATTCGGAAAACCCTCAAGAATCCACCACCAGTCCTCATGCCTCACTCCGGCAAGACTTACGGCAGCAGAGCCACCATCTCTACTGCTGCTATGCCCTCTTTCTATCCTACCAGCTAGCCCCTTCACTAGTAGGACGCGTGATATCTTTCTCTCACTAACCGCAATCCCTCTCTTACCCGTTACCCGGCTTGGCTGAAAAGCCATTTGAGAAAACTTTCAGTTATTCGGAAGGTATGGGACTAGCCTGCCGAAGTCCTGCAAATGCCCCAAAACCCGCGAAATCCCTAACAAACCTTCCAAGGTTCTCCAACATTGTCTTACTCCCTGCCGGGCTCTTCCAGGCCTCACACTCCCTCATCCTGCTGGGTTACAGGGCAACACAACTCACCCCAGCTCCGGCCAGCGTCGTCCCAGCAGCAACCCTTGGTTGTCCCGTAGAATGCCCCCCCAAAGCACCCCCAGATGTCTCTACCAGGCCTCATGCCCCTGCATCAGCAGGTTACAGGGCAACACCCCAGCACCGGCCAGCGTCGTTCTGGCGTTGAACAGCCGCAGGTCACCGAGTATAACGGCCTTGGTACCACCTAAACAAAGTTGTCAGGGATCCCCCGAATCCAGAAGACATTTTTAGGCCAAAACAAACTACCCCCCTTTGTAAAGAACAGATTACAATATTTTTTGAAATTTTAAGAAATTCTAGAACTTTTTTTTTTTTCCTCCTTTCCCCAGGACATACTTACTCAGAGACAGTACCAACCATACCAACATCACCCATAGCTGATCTCTTCTCACCACTACGCAGCCCCCCCCAATTTGCCACTGGCTTACCTTCCACCCTCGGCAAACCCCAGACCTCTCTACAAGGGCTCATACTCCTGCACATTGCAGGTCACAGGGCAACGCCCCAGCTCCGGCCAGCGTCGTTCTGGCATCGGCAAAACAGGGGCACAGAACAAAAAAGCTATTCGGATGTCAGTCCCATTGTGACCCTCTCTGAACTCCTACACCCCAGTTCCAAGTAACCAGACTGCACAAACAAACAGCAACCACCCACTCTCCCCGCAACTATTGGAGAAAACTACAGGTCTCATGTTCAGTCCTCAAACGACGCACAGCTGGTCTCATACCCTACCATGCTAGAGTTACAGGACCCCACCAAGCCCCAATACCGACCCACCTAGCGAAGATGGTGAGGAGTGCCTTCCTCCCTCGGCAACTCCCCATAGCCGCGCGCCCCAAACGGTGACAGGGATACACCCCAGCTACGGCCACGTCGAAAGTGCTGGTTCTATCTTCCTCCCTCGACAGAACTCCCCAAGCCTCATGCTCCTCTTTAGGTCACAGAGCAAAACCACTCCAGCACCGTCTTGCGTCGTCCCAGCCCCTTCCTTCTGACCTACTAACAGAACCCACAGTCCCCCTCGGTCGCCCCCCCTCCCCCCTCTTACCCCTCAACCTTCTTGGAACAAGGACTTGGATCCTCTCCATGGGGCGTAAAAACAAGCCCAACCCCCCGTACGAACAACATCTCAATAGGGGAACCCTAAGGAAGGGAACTGATACTGCCCACCACCTACACCTACCCAACCTTTCTCCGGCAAGACTTACTACAGTGGAGCCACCATCTCCCTACTGCTATGCCCTAATTCCACTCTGCAGTTAGCCCCTTCCCACAGAGCGCGTCCTTTCCTTCCATCATATCCTCTACCCCCTCAATACAGCCCCCTCCTGAAGGGAAAAAGAACGAAATTAAGGCAAAACTGAGTGAAAACACGATGC